CTTTATTAACTTATCAAAATGGAATTTCTGTTTATAACCTCCTGAGCTTCCCATACTCATTGAAGGCTTTCAACCTGAAAAAGAAGTTGGTGTTTTGATGGTACCAGTGATAGTACTTAGCTCACCTCGGTTGATGCGTGTCATGAGGATAGACTGACAACAGTGTGTTATCTGTCCCTAATTCTTGTTCTAGCAGAGTTCTTTCCTTATCATCGGTATCATCGCCGTTGACTACAGACTGGAATGAGAATAAATTGTAAATGATTAATTTTGATTCAGTAAGGCCTAGTTAACAAGCGTCAACCTTTTCATGAGTAGAACCTTAATTGAAGAAAAGGAAAAAGATTGACTTTTAAATTAATTATTTGAGTTCAACATATTTTAATTGAATTAAGATGAAAAGCAGTTCGATGTGGATAGTCAGGAAGAAACAGAGCCTCTGGTTTAAATGTTGAACATGGCTTGGGCCAAGACTAAGCTAATAAATGAATAAACTGCAAATACACAAACCCATCTTGATGTAACAACACCTGAATGTTTGATGCTAAAATTTTCTGAAAAGACAGTATTAAAGCTTGTCAGAATTACCTGGTGTGCCACAGCTGATGAATGGGCAATGTTGGCCCTCATAAACTGATCAAATTGATCCACTTAATGCTTTTTTCCTTGACTTGTGCAAATAAGTTAATATTTACTAGAAGTCCTGACTCCCTGTTGGGGTTAGGACTGGAAAATTACCTGACCACTGATAATACTTTTGTCATTGTCCAGAACAGCACGAAGAGGGAAAAACTCAAGACCACCAGCAGACTGGTCATGCAATAACACCTCGTGTCTTTCAGAATCACCATTCATGCTGAGATAACTAGTTGAGTACATTCCACTGTCGGTGTGTGAGCTATCGTGGGTTACATTGTACACTGGTCTAGAAGATGAGTGGAGACTTGACAGTGGTTTTTCTGATATTTTCAGTTGTTGTTGTAGCTGTGAGGATGGGAACAGAGCTGCTGTGATTGGCACTTTATCAGGCTGGTGTTCTGTACTTTTTCCCCACTTGAAGGACGATGAGTCTTTAGTGTTCTTCATGAAAGAACCATGATCTTGGCTAAACTGAAAGGAGGATGTCTGAAAAAAATCACAAGGAAAGTCTGGGTGCTGAGATAGGTAAGCTTAGCATGCTGCAGTGTGTTTGAGGATTCATACCTACAAACAATTTTGACAGACTACTGATTGTGGCAATGAGCTAACTAATTAAACAAATATCCTTTAGCTATTAACCACAAAATGACCAATTCATGAAGTTTTCTGGTTTTTGGTGAAGTATTGCTATTTACAATCAAAAAGTACACAGTCTTACATTGCAGTATTTTCACATAGCATTGTACTTATAATAGTCATCATTTCCACTTAGTATTGTACTCATTAAGAAAACTTTTATCAAAACCTGAGCAAAGAAAAAAAGAAAAACCCTCTATCAAACAACAAAAATGAAAAACGTCAAAACTGTAACAAAGTTTGACCAGTAGGATGTACTTCACAGTATTTTAATAGCGACCACTTTAAATGATGATACCCTGTAGGGTTATCAATAAGGGCCATAACCAATAACACCTGTTATGGCTGAGTATGTTTGAATTGCCCTAAATTATACCCACATAGGAAATGGTGTTTGTCATTCATCAAAGATGGCATGACAAGATGTCAAGACCAGTAACATCTAGTCAGAGTTCTGCTTGGAGGATACCGGTTATTTCTTTAATGTCCTCTGTTTGCTGGGCTACATGTATGTTTATAATTAATATTATTAATAATTATTAATTGAAATACCTGTTGTGTTTCAGATAAGCCTGGGGAAAGCGTAGCAGCACTAGAGTTCAACAGCTTAATGGCTTCATCACAATGAGCCTGCATCATTTGCTGCAGGCGAACTGACAGAATCTGTCTACAAAATAACATACATTTAACGTACTGTAAGTGGATGATAACTATCAGTTGAGAATGATTTAATCTGCTCACAATTCAGCCATCAGTGTATGCAAACTCAAAGACAGGCCCAAAAGTATCCAGGATACCTTAATTGTTAACAACAACTGTTCGTAACTGCACAGACTAAGGATGACAGTGACATAACTGTTACTACCCATGGCAAAAATATCCTCTTGACTATCTTACATTTTTGCAATCAACACTGTGACAGTGTTCATTATTACCACATCATTACACCTCTAACACCCCAAAACAGCATCACAATTACCTTTCTTTTTCAAAGTACTGCCTTGTATTGGAAAGTGATGCCATCTTTTCTTGAAAACCACTTATTCTAGAGGAAATACCAGCCAAATGACAGGAATGTTTATATAGCGTCACACCAAAATATTAATGGAAGAACATGCACTCACTGTCTGAAAACATTGAACAGACATAAAATTTGCCAAATATTGACAAAAAATAATCAACTTTTTAGTTGACTGTTTCCATGAACATATGTGGTTTTTACACGTAACACTGACTGTGCATACATGTACCTCTCTTCATATTCATCACTTGTAGACTTCAGCTTAATGTCCTTTCGTTTCAGCTCCTGCAGAAAAACTGGGTGTTAGATGATCCTTTTTTCAGTTTCCGTGCATAATGGTTCAGCTCTAAGCTACTCAAAAACTACTGCCCTAGCAGGAACAATTAAAGGGATACTATCACAACAGTTTTACTGCATTTTTGATCAAAACCTTTGGTAATTTTGGAACACTAAGTTGATTGATGTAGGTGAATTGTCGAAGGAAGGGCAAATTGAAATTATTTTTCTGCAATTTTTCCAAGACATGACTGCAACAGAAATGAAAAAGTCTGGCAAAATTAGTTTACAGTCTTACCTGTGGATATGCATGACGAGAATTGATGTTGGCACACTTGTTCAATTTGATGTCGCAACAGCTAAGTTGTATGTACATGTTTGTAGACTTACCTCATTTAACCTAAAATCTACTTTTTAGCTTCAGTACACTTGAATCAGAATGTATAGAATTGTCTGGCAAAACTAGACCACTATCTTTAGGTTTCCATTAATGAAACTTTGTCTTCTAGAATCTGACTTTGAGTAGTGTACCTTTAAGAGACATATAAAATACACCTTTATCACAACCTACCTCATGAAATTTGGCAAGCTGCTGCTCAAGGTCTTCCTTGTGTTTCTTATTCATCTCCAGAAGCTATAAGTTAAAGAGATCAAGAACATCAGCGTTACAGGAAAATGTGATTTCTTGCTTTAACTCTTGAACCAAAAGCAAGCGGAGATCATGATTAAGTCAGACAACTAACAAGTTTTTAGCACATCAAACAAGCCCCACAGAAAATACATCTAAGTATGCTAATTCAAAGCTTGTTTTCTTTTTTAACTAATAGGAACCTTTAGATTGGACTACGAGTGCGAGATTGAGTACGAGAAAGTACTGTAACTTGCGAATTTCAAACCACTGACATTTTCAAGAGCCCTCCCTTTTCATGTTGGTTTTAGGTAGAGAGAGTAGCTCAATTGGGATGAGATATGTATGTGAAGTGATAGTGGAGCCTGCAAACTAGAATTGAAAAGTTGCTCTCGTACTTGATCTTACACTCGTACTCAAATCTGAAGTCCCCTAATACCTGTTTTCTGTGTGATTCTCTTAGGTCTGTTTCTGTTTGAGACATTTGCTCATGTATCTCCTCCAGCCGCTCAGTCATCTGTTTTAAGGTAAAAATGAAAAACACTTAAAATTTAAAAGTTTCAGTTATTACCATTTTCTTTCTCGCTAATAATTAAGAGGTGTTCTCCCTATTCAATTATTTTTTTATCAATGATTAATCCATTAGCCACTTAAGATAAATTGTAGCACAAATGGATCTCAAAACTGATGAGTAATTAACACAGGAACATTTTCCCAAATAACCTAACACTAGTTTAGACAGTTTCCCCAGATTGTATGGTTGTAACTATTATGAATTGCATTGCAACCTCTCTCTCCAGTTCAGCTTGTCTCTCTGTCTCCTCTTTTGTTCTGTTTGCTTCATGCTTAGCTTCCATCAAGCGGAGCTCCATCTTCAAGCTCTCCTAAAAAGTTTAGAATGCAACATTAAGATATAATTATGATTATCATAATTAATAAGTAAGTTCAAGTGTCTAGAGTCAGCTTTGACATAAAGAGCAGAAAAAAAGACTATAACTTTAGATGGTCTATTCATGTTATAACCTGTTTCATTTTTAAACCTCAGATAAAAACGGAAACCTCAGGCAAAAATCACTGTAAACAAAAATCGCCTGTAAACTATTTGACTTCAGACAAGATAAAAAGTCATTCATTACAAGCTCTTCCATTATTAATAACTATAAACTGCTCTCAGTAAATTACAGTTGAGTTAGAATGTAAAATGACTACCTTTTCTCTATTGCTCGTATCAAGTTCCATTTCAAGACGCTGAACTTCTTTTTGAACTGATGCAAGAACAGCTTGGCCATCCTAAATAATTAAAATGATTAAGTTATTAAAATACTTTATCATGGCAGTTGAAATAGTAATCAACTTTTTCAAAAACTGTATAAGTAAATGAACAAGTTTTCATAGGTCTGGGCTTTAAAATGCTCCAATTGAATTTTAAAGAAACAAGAATTTACCTTGGATGCCTGTATTTCTTTTTGTAGCTTTTCCTGATGGAATGAAATATTATGTGCCAACCTTTAGAATACACTTAAAAGCCCTTTTAAGCTAACTACAGCATAATTATGAACTCTTATGCAGGTATCCAAGTATTCTTTGGACATTTGCAAACTGAATTCATGTGATTACAAATGCTGCATTCATCTCCCCCACTTCCTGTTGTGCACCCTTGATATATATTATAATCCATCCAACACCTTTACCACACAGTTATATCTTTCCAGCGGGGTTTTAAAAAAAACAAACGTTTGAAGTGGACAGCTTTTTAATGTGTGAGTAGGAAGCGGATTTTCTAATTTTTTTCTGAAGAATCAGACAAATAGCCAAGCAGCCAATAGCCTGTGAACACAGATAGATTTCAGCTTTTGTTTCTTTGGCGGCGTGAAACAAAAGCTGGAAGTCTCTCTGTGTTCACAGGCTACTTTTGACAACCTTGTTGTGGTCACATACACCTGTTTTTACACCCTCCTATCCACTCAAAAAAGAGATAAAAGAGGCTCTGCTCGCAGGGTGCAGCTTTTATGCCCACTGTATGTGCATTATCAATTGATTGATTAGATTGCGAAGTAGGATCTAATCCCTAGATAATAAACCCTTCACCCTTCAGGGTCTTAATGCTTCTATAATTTCAAAACTTTTCAAAATTGAATTATTGCTAGTTAAAAGCATTCACGACAAAAAATACTGTACTAGCCTGTAGTCACTCAAGATACAAAAAGGCATTCTTAGCTACCAGTATATTAAATAAACACACACTTTAATTATTAAAAATGTATTTACTTAACTATTCATTCTCAGAAATTAATCAATAAGTCAATTAATTGTTACATACATCACAAATATTTTATGATACCTTTTCTCTGGCCAAAGCTTCATTGTGTTCAGCTTCAAGACCATCAATTCTTGACTGGAGTTCTTCAGAAATCTTCTCTTGCTTAAATAAACAGAATAATAAACTTAAATAAACTTAAATAAACAGAATAAACTCCTCTTGCAAATAAACAGAATGAATGAATGCTTAAATAGATGTTAAAATGCATCACAGTAAGTGGCTTTGAGATTAATAAATTATTGTTATAGGTGATTTGCATGATGGCATCATTTGACTACCAAGTGCTACCAGGTTATCCTTCACTTTGGCTGTTTCTTATAAATGTTAATTGGGGCAATTGTTATTTAAACCCCACTGGGACTTCAAAATTTAAATAATAACAAAAAACAAATTAGAGAAATTCTGGTAGTTGTAGTCAAGTGACTACTGTGCAAATCTGCTATTGTCGGGTAATTTAAATACAATTTGGCAATCACCTAATTTATTTGTAATAACTCCAACTAAATGGTGACACAAACAAGGGGATGTGGCTGTTCATGGCAAACATTCATCAAGTAACACAGGAAATGGATAAATCAAGTAAATGCACCTTCACGCCATATCAACAATTTTTCAGAATTTTCTTGAAATAAACAAAAAATCACCTTGTTCCATAGTTCAATTTATCACACCAAATTTAGTAAATCTACAAAGTTTCAAAAGAATCTGTTGCAAACTAATAATAATATGGGAACCCAAACTTACAAAGCATTGCCACCTGGTATACATTTCTTTGTAAAAATAGGCAAGTTAGGGGTCCCATATTTTTATTAGTTTGCAGCAAATTCATAGATTTACTAAATTCGGTGTCATAAATCGAGCAATGAGGCTTGTGTTTTGTTAGAACAAAAAAATCAGAAAGGCGTGACATCAGTAAAAAAAGTCCATTGTAGGTGCTTGAAAAGGGCACTGTTGAAGTGATCTTGCGGGTATAATACTGACTGCTCTGTACTGTTGCTATAGATTTATAAGTTAAATTACAGTAACTACTAATGGTGCCAATGGTTTTCCAGCGATAACATTGTTTTGTTTTTAAATGCAGGCAAGAGAAAAACATGACATTTCACTTACTTCTTTCAAAGCTTGGTCGCATTGAATGTACTTCTCTTCTGTTTCTTCCTTGTCCTTGATGACTTGCATTTTTTCGTGTTCAATTTGCGACAGTGCTTCTTTTTCTTTTGAGAGACATTCTAGTAGCTTGCTTCTCTCCTCTTTTTGTTGCTTGAGCTGAAAAATCATTCAAAACTGGTGAGAACTCCTAAATTATTAAACCTGTCAGACACTGTATACAGTAAGTTATGAGTAAATTAAAATCTTGTAGGTTAGCATTCTCCTTTGATATTGGTATTCCATCACATCATGTACATTACTAAAGGCATCCACAGACAAGTGTCGATCGATACCCTCGATCGACACTCAATCAACACCTCAATCGACATCTTGATTAACACTCAACCAACATCTCGATCAACAGTCAATTGACAGTCAGTCGGTAGTTGGAAGAGTGTCAACATGAATGCATTTTCAAAAGGTTTCACTACCTGCGTCTGTTTCTCTCTCTCAGCCTGAGCAGCTTTATCCTGCTCCTTTGTCAAAGCTTCCACAGCTTGTGCTAATTCTTTCTCAAACTGTAACAACATCTAAAAGACAAATATTAACAAACAGGCTGGTACAACATGTCATTTGAAATGGCACATGAAACACCGCTACATGGAAATGTCACCTGTGACAAGATGGTTACCTCTTGTTGTCGTTGCTGAGACTGTTCTGCATTTTCTCTTTCCACTTTCAGTTGATTGATAATGGCTACCTTCTCATTTTCGTGTTTCTTCCATCCATCGACAACTTTAGCCAATGTCTGAAACAAAAGAATATAAAATCACAGTGACAAGTGGTTGTGCAGTACTACAATTTCTGTAAGTAAAAACTGATGACATTCTATATAACACTCAGTTGTGCATACAGATTACATATTAAAAAATGTTGTTACATTTAAAAGATCAACATACAGTAGCCACCAACCTTATCAAGTTGTTCAATCATTGCATCCTTCTTCCTTTCAGCAGACACAGCGACTGCTAATTGCTGCTGAACCTCAAGTAACTGTAAGCAGAGGATGTGAAATTAATCTGTGACTTTCTCAGAGTCCCTGGGACAATCACTGACAAAAGATCTCATATTTTGTGATTACATTTGAAGCAATGGCACAGCACTACAGTCTGATACAGAGGGTTCTGTCTGTTACATGCACTTAACGTGATGAATTAAATTTTATAATAAAGGCATTTGCTCACTTATTTTATCAAAAGATTGTCACATGCCCTAGTTACTTCTAGAAACAAATACTAACCTTTCCATGCAACTCTTGTATTTGCTGCTCGCAGTGCTACAAAAAAACAATAAATGAAAACTCAGAAAATTTAAAAATGACAAAAGGGTCAGGCTGCACAGTACTAGCTTGCAGGAACTTCTTCATGCTTGTACAGTTAAATGAAGAAATCAATTCTTTAGAAACAATTTGAGTTATTTCTTTATTATATGTTTTATTATATGTTATTATATTATGTTTATTCTCAGATTTTCATGACTGTATTGTGAAAAAATAGAGAAAGTTGCACAGAACAATGCTAGCTCCAGACCTTGCCAGATAAAATGAACAGCTTAAAATGTCATTGAGGTGTAATTAACCCTGCTAATGCTTGCTCTCACTTTCAGTTCCTAGTCTGACAACAGGCGTTTCATTAAGGGTTAAGCACTGGGCAAAT